TAAAGACAACTCAGGCATATTATTAATATTATTGCGTATTACTATTACACATAGTTAACTTCAAAAGTCAAAAATTCAAAAACATGACTCATATGTATGTAAAGATAATTTGGTTTTAGTAATTAAATTTTCTGATTCAAATTATTCTTCTTACATCATCACAATATACATGCAATGATAATAATTCTTTATCCATCCCTGGGTACACATTTTTTATCATTATCATTATTGCTGCTTGTATCAAGTGTTTTTACTTGTATCCACTTGCAGTCAAATTGTCAAAATGGCTCTGGAGAGAAACTACCTTTAGTCAATACTTTAGTTACGTCAATGTTTAAAGTCAAAATTTTTGTCATCATCATTATGTGCTATGTGAGATTGAAATTCATTTATTGTTAACATTAAAGTTAAGTTATGTTTGGATTGTGTCTTCTGCATTGTGAAATCACATCATTTGGGTCAAGACAATAATATATTTTATTAAATTCGAAACATGTAAATAGGATGGATACCCCCAGATTTTTTGCAACACATTCAAATCATGCCATCATTTTTCAACTTTTATAGCAACAAGGATTTTGTTATTTTAAGGATACCAGCCACACCTTTTGATGGTGGTTGCAATCACCTTTACATCATATAAAAATGATTGCAACATCTGGTTGTGACCACTTTGCCTCTTTTTTTGATTGCAACATGGAACATTATTTTATTTGTTAAAATTTATGCTATAACCTGTTTACAAATAGAGTTGCTTTCCATGAAATTTATTTTCTTAATAAATTATAATTCCAAGCTGAAATGCTTTAAAAAAAACACCTAGAGAACCATCAGAACTAAGCCTGTTCTGCAGAACTAGATGATATAACAATGGAATAATTTATATCTTCATAGATGATGATGATCTTGAGTTGTAAATTTAAACAAAACAAAACAAAAATAATAAATATTTCTTAAATCTATAAATTTCACCAGTTCTGATTTTAAGATCAAAAAATGATGCAAATAAAAGAATATCTAAAATGGCTGTTCCAACTTCCTTTGTTTGAATATAATTAAAGATTTACTATGATCTTTTATTAATTAATTCATGTATTGTACAATAATTAGACCCATCTACTACTTGAGAGAACATGTTGTCTGATTTAATTATTAAAAAAAATTTTTCTAGTTTGTGTTGTCAATATCAATATCTTGTTTGAAATGAAATTGTTGCATTTTTGTCATTAAACAATGATGATTCAATGATTTGTCAATCAATTTAGATCATTTCAATAATCAATCTTGGAAAATCAATCTCTAGTGAATATGTTATTGATGGTTGGTTAGCAAGGAAAATCCTCCATCTCATTTGTAATTAATTTTGGTGTGTTTTATTTGGATATGGAATTCTGATTGGTAATTTGGATTTCATGCACAACAAGTATGATGGTGATATACTTGAAACAGAACTTCTAGTTGATATTAAATTAAACTGAAGAAACAAAATCAAAGAACTTTCCTTCAGCCTCTCCAAGCTGTTGTAAAGGCACCTCTTGGGCCTCAAACATCATTCGAATTATTGCTATCACTGTTTACCAATGTACATTATTAATGATTCTGTTGGAGCTCGCAATATATATTTGCATTGTTTGTTGTATATCTGTTAAAAATAAATATGTTAATAAGATTGAGTCATTTTTGATCCAGTTTCTGGGTTATTGTTTGAAATCATCCTACTGCTAATTACTTTAGTATGTGCTTCAGCGTATGTGTATTACCACTAGACATGATTTCATCATCATCATTATTTTTTTTATTCTAAAAAAAAACAAAAAACTGTATCATCTGTGTTTCTGGAACAAAGACCATGCAAAGGAATCCAACACATCTAATATAAAAAAAGTCATTCTATTAATATTTAAAAAAAGGTATGGATGTGTAAATTCACCCGAAAAATTCAAGGCAACAACAGGAGCTCCCATCAATAGGGGAATGAATTCCAGTGTTTTAAAAAAATATATTATAATCCTGATGGATTTATAATATGTGTCACAATTATTAAAATTGTCTGTATGATTACCACTGTGATCTCCCTGGCTAGCAAGATTGAAAAATCTTGAAATCCAGGATTCAAATGACTCGAAATGTATATATGACCGCCAAATCCACTGTACCTATCATATTCTGGTGTCATAATATTATAAACTCACATAACTCAATCATATATATATAAAATTCATTTGGAGCATCAAATTAGCACTTGATGCAAAAAATCTCAGCATCTTGTCATGTATTCATGATTAATGATGCAAACATTAATAAAAATAGACTATTTCATGGCAGGTGGTGCATTGATTGAGTAGCATAATAAATTACAACAAGAACATATAAATAGGCCTGCCACCCCAAAAATGGTGCATTGGTTTTGCTTTTTACACTGTATTATAATTCTAGGACTGAGTCATGTAGTGCCGAAATGTCATTCTATGCAGTGTTGTGACCTGAAACAGGAACTAACAGAAACCACCTGAAACTAGTTAGGTTAGTAGTTTATGTTTATGTTTAGGTTTAGTTTTAGTTTTCTGCTTAGTGTAGTCATCAGGAAAATGTGTTTTTTTTTGATACATGTATTATATGTATATTATATGTGTATTATTTTACATTACAGGTGATCCGCATATAATATACAAATAATACACATGTCCATAAATTACACACAAATTATACATATATTATATGCAGATCACCTGTAATGTAAAATAATACATGTATAATATACATATAATATGTGTATCAAAAAACACGTTTTCCTGATGTAAGTTCATTTTCTGAAACGTTTCAGGAAGCTAAAAGAGTTTCTGGTCACAACACTGGTTCTATGTATGATTTGGCTTTACACATTACATTCAAATGTGAGGTATCTATATATTCATTCGGAGCATCAACATTATCCAGTCATATTATCATTATATCAATTTTTTATTTTATTTGTTGCATTGAGTAAAAAATTTATTTATACAAAGGAAAATTGTTCACAAATCCAATAAAATTAATAAAAGATCCTTGCAAAGAAGAACCCTTGTGCGAATCAAAAGTTATTTATGAATTTCAATTGTGAAAAAAATTAACTAAGCTTTTTTTTTCCTAATTAAATCCTTTGTCCTGATCTTTTCTTTGTGTTTATTTATTTATCCCAAATTAAAGGTCAATTGGATCAATTGGATTTTTTTTTTTCCAATAGCTATGGAAGAATACACTTCATGGAAACATCAAAAGTTATTTACAAATTTTGATTGTTAAAAAAATCAACTATGCTTTTTTTTTCTAATTAAAAATAATATTCATGCATATTGTTGTTTATCAATAATTCGATTGACTGATAACAATAAAATAAAATATAAAAGTGTTTTTGAATCCCAGCTCAAAAATATACTAATAATAGCACTAATACATTATGTGACAAGACCTTAATTGATGTAAAGGCTCTAAGGCAAGGCCATAAGTTTTTGGAATGGTCCGAAACATCAGGGCAAGACGAAAAATACCAGTAGTCAACAAGACACTGAAAAAAAAAATCTAAAGCGAAACACAATTTCCTTTCAACCTGACATTTTGAACAAAAATAGATAATTTTTCACTTGCCAAATAGATAGCAATTGGAATTTGTATGATATGGTGATGTTAATACAACCACAAACATTTGTCATTTTTGGAAATGAAATATTTTGTAGTGAAAAAAGGAAAAAGCAACACATTCCCAACAATTCAGTTTACTAAAGTTGAGCAACAAAATATTTTTACCATAATTGTGCTGAATTTACCATTTCAATTCAAATTTGGTAAAAAAATTACACAAATATAAAAATCTACTACATTTAGAAAGGAACCATAACATGGCAACCTTTCTTTCTTTTTGTTATTCTCAAAAAAAATCTCTACTCTATTCATTAAAACATCAAGTCAAATTTATATTTATTGTTTATATTTTTATATAATGTCACATATTAAACTATTATATTCATTATCATCAGAAGACATGACTTTATATATAAAATTCATAATGAAATGTTTAATAATGCAGCGGTTAATTCTGATAGAGAAAGTATAAAAGATTATTACAGTCTGGGATTATACCATAAATGGAAATTAATTCTAGAATAATTTACAGTCACACCTCGAAATTTAATTGGCCTTTGATGATCTTTTCTACAAAAAAAATCAAAAAAATCATGACATTTTTGTAAGCCCAAAAAAAGGTACACATCATATAGTAGTACCATATTTTTATAATATCAACAAGCTTGTCTAAATACACAGTTTAATAATCCACTTTAATCCACAAAGGTTTACATATTAGTTTTTTTTTTAATAAGAGACATG